GCTTGGTAGATTAGGAACAACCTGTTTGAATGGGGCAGAATTTATCTAAACATTTGAATTTAATCACAGACTAGCCACTTTACTTTAATCTGGTGAATTATCTGTATCGTGTGCTGAAGAATAAACCTGCACATCTGGTGGGACTATTGAACACGGCCACAACTCCAGGCTCACTCCTGCTTCCATAAGCCCGGAGGCTTGTAGAAGCAGACTTTTTCATCTGTTGTGTTGAAACAAGAAGAAAAGCGATCCCAGGCTGGCTCAGGTAGATGACGGCAGTTTTCATTACCTGACAGCAGAGGTGAGTTTGGCTGTGTTGTCTGACAGCATGCTGATTGCTCCTTCGTCCTCCCCCTCTAAACCCTGGATAAACAAATGCAGCACTGTTACACGTAGAGCATAAAAAAGCTAATGGTGCGTGATTTACCTTGGAACTCGGAATGGCGTCACACCCAACTTAACCGCATTCTGGTTACCGTAGTGGGAAAAGTCAGAATTCCAATATGACGACGCACACCTCCCAATTAGCCAATGTTTGTAGCTTCCTTTTAATAACAGTTTGAAGCTGTACGTTCAACATGCAAACAAAACTTTTTCTATGTTCAGCTACAGCTAACATCGGTTTTAAACACACTCTTATAAGTGTGTTTTGTAAAGTTCCTCTGTTAAGTGACAGCTGCCAATGCTTCTTCTTCCGGCTCTTGGAGTACACAGATGCTATTTTCTCCTCTCCCTCCCTCCTTATCCCAAGGCTCTTTGTCCTGTCTTGTGTGCACGGCGCTTTCTGCATTTTTTCTGGAAACTGGAAATTATTAAAAATGGATCTGGTCAGCTGGTCTCTCAATGTGATTGACAAAATTTTTTCAACGATGAGAACGGGAGATGGGGCTCCCGGATGCCCCTCTGGGACAGAGCCAGCTGGCTATATCATGGACTCCTGGAAATAGTGGAACCTGATATGCCTCTCTCACCTGTCTGTAGAGGATTCTGAAGATGTTTGGATATTCGTCGTTTTGGTGTCAGGATTCCTGCTGTTTGGCCTGAGCGGTTACCTGGCTTACCGGAAAATTAACGAGCTTTCGAGGAATATTGGCTCAATCCCGGAGCTCAGGGATGGAATGCATCATGCTGTGAACGCACAAACTCATACAATTGTCAAGATGAGTCGTAAGCTTGGAACTCTGGCTGAGATTCAGGCTCTGGCACAGAAGGTGGATTACATCAAGGAGCGAGTTAACGGATCAGGACGGATTAGGATAGATTAATTACACCATTATTGGATCTAGAGGGGTTTTAAGACCAACAGAACACTAAGGCAGAGAGGAAACTATCTCTGTCTGTTCCCAAAACAATTCTTATCTGAATCTGGTGCCCTTAGAGCCTGTGAGGCTGACGTGTAAACTCCCCCCTCAGAAGAAATGTGGAATGCTGCCGTTGCTATGGAAACTCTTTCTCCCTATCCCAGCCTGGGTGGGACTGTGACCGGTGAAGGCCGTGGAACCGTATCTAGGAGTCAATGTGCCCTCTAACCCATTATCTCCCTCCCCTGTCCAAATGGAGGTGATGAGCGCTGCTCCATGCGGCTGCAGGCACTGAAGTGAGGAGAGTCCCAACCCTACCTCCCCACCTAGTGGACACTTATGTTGTGTAATGTCTGAAGTCTGTGTGCATATCTGTCTGAGGTGTTTTTTGCATAGCAAAGCTGCCCTCTCTGTTGAGGGTAACTCTGAACTGCCTTTTTTTCCCTCCCCCCTGATTCTATCCTCATTTAAACCCTCTTGACCTATAACGGTAGCGCGACTCGGGTTGCGAATGACTACAGTCACCAATCCTTGTCATGTGTCTATGTATGTATGTATGTATGTCTGATCTCAGAATTGTGTGTACTGAAACTCTAATTTCCCTCTGGGATTAATAAAGTATTTTTGAATTGAATTGAACTGAATTCACCCAAAAGGTACTGTTGTTGGGACGGAGAGCTGCCCTTTTAGATGTCGAGGTCAGAGTTCTGAAACTCTTCCGAGTTTCCGACTGGGAGGTCCGACTTTGGGGGGGCGTTTCATTAGATTTTTCCAACTCGGAAGTTGGGATTTCCAAACGCACCATAAAGGCTGGGGGAGCACACAGATTTCTGAACTCAAGTGAACGGAGCGGCAGAGTCTCACCATAATGCTCTTCAGACGCTTGACCTCGTCCTCCTGGGCTCTGTAGGCATCAAGCTCCTCCTGAACCGACTCGGCCACCTCTGGGAACGGGCTGGAACACAAACACAGCCATCTCAGTGACCAAATCTCCACAAGCCGTTCCAATCAGACATAGACAGTGAGCTGGAACGTCACTCATACTTATAAAAACACCCTGACACCACCATGATGTTTACACTGTCGGGGCTCTTAGCGAAAGGTGCTCTCGAGAGGATCCAGATTGAAGTGGGTTCAGACCCGTTTACATTAGACAAGGTCTAGCTCTGAATCAGCCCAATGGTGTTTATGATACTGACCTGCCCTTGTGTTTCTGCCAAAACGAGTCAGCAGCTGTCAGGTCGTAGGTCTTTCTGGCCTTTTTCTTTGGTCTGGCACCAGCAGGTGATGCCTCCGCCCCCCCACCTTCCTCCAGCACCACCCTGTTAAGATGGAAGTCCTGAGGGACGAAAGGGAAAACAAGTTATTCAGTCTGATCCGCGTCAGAGAGAGAGACAGACTGAAAGACCCCATGTGTATGATGTAACATAATGTAATAAACATATACTACACATACCAAATATACTGTAGTATATGTACTATACACAGGAGGACTGTGTCTTTAAAAATCATCCGCTGCTGCTGAGGTCAGAGACTTTAATTAGCAGTATTTTAATCATCTTCGATGACTACCGTCTTACCAGAACATCATGGATCAGCGCCTGATAGGTCCAGGTGTGGTGAAGGGGCGTGGCCATGTCCATGTTACGATCCGCCAAAACAAACAGCGGCCTCTGGAAACTGGTTAAGGAAATAAAGCAAAGGATAATCATGGCTATGAGACAGAAACAGGGCTGAACTGTGACGGAGCATTGCATCATGGGAGATCAGTCCTTAGTCTTATGATAATAAAGTCTTATCCACCATGATGGACTGCAGCAGCTGATTTAGCCTTTTTATTCACACAAATTCATCATAGTCCTGCTGCTCAGGGCAGTTCGGTTCTGAGGGCCCGGTTCTGGTTTTATGGAGACTCCAGTTATGTTCTAATGTTCCGTTTATGCATTTTCGAGAGAGAGAGAGAGAGACAGAACCCTAAATTGAGCGTCTTCATCAACTCGATGATTCGGAACAATCTGAAGTCAGGAGTTCTGAGGATGAATCGAGTCTCTCTGCATTTTTAGTATTTTACATACTTTCAGTAATATTTGAGTAGAAACTTCTGTTGTTCTTTCTGCTCCGTCCTACAGTGCTAATTAGTTTTCTTTCATTGATGCACAACAGAAGAAATTAGAAGTTAGAAATAAATGTCTAAAGCTAAAATAATATTTTATCCCATCTTTACATTGTTTTTCATGACAGGCACCTAGACTGTTTTCTTTTTTCATGTGAGAATGACAAAGAATCCCAGTAAGAGCTGTAACCATCATTACTAAAATGTAACTGAAGCACAGTAAACCTCACTGACCTGAACTGTCCTCCAGTCATGCTGTCTCCAGTGAACAGACTGTTTCTGGCATCCCGCAGGTTCTCACGCAGCTTCTTATCCAGCTTCTAAACACCAACGGTTCCACAGAAACCTTGGTTAGCATGATGATCTAAACATGTGGCCTGACATTACTAAACATCAACAATAAACATTAAATAAAAGCAGTCAACAGTCTGTGAAAAATCATGTGAACATAAAAAATGATCATGATCATCATCAGACCCCTCTGCACCTGTGACTCCTGTCTTTGTTTTGGTCCTCCGTACGGCTGTAGATGGTTATTCTGAGAATGACCATCCTGACTCCCTGCAGAGTCCTCTCCTTGTACAGAAGCTGCTTTATTTAAATCTAAGATGAGTTAGGTTAAAGTTTTAAACTCTTTCACTTGGTTTCTGTGTTCCACTGAATGATGCTTTTGTGGTGAACTGGTGGCTTATGAACAAAAGGGAGTTTTCCTCTCCACTGTCGCTACTTGCTTGCTTAGTATGGGGATTACTGGGTTGGGGTTCCTTATAGGAAACTTTTAACTAAAAGGCTTAAAGGGGCATTATGGAAGTTTGACCGCCAAAACATGTATAGAAATAATAAATGTCTTCTTCATAAATTCTCCTGCAATGCCCTGGTCCTGTAGAATGAGCCCTGGCATTTTTACTGTGATTGCCTGTTTTTCTGTAAAATCACAGAAAAAGAGAGATGCTCGGGTCAAGCAGGCTGCTTCATGCACGTTCACGCTCAGGCATCGCCCGTAGCGTTTGCGATCCGTAGCTTTAGTCTTTGTCGCTGTTCCTAACGCCTAGTGACAAAGCTAGCTACATTTCTGAGGACCCTTAGCTACTTTCTGTAGAACTTTCTTCTAGATACTTCCTGCAGTCTAGCAACAAAATAGCCATTTTCGCTCCAAACCGTTCTTTGAACGTTGTTTCAGCTGTCATCAAGGATATAAAAGTTACAGATACAAAGGACGTCATTGGCGCTTTAGCTCACCTAGTAAGACGTCGGACTCTCGTGCAGAAGACTCGGGTTCAATTCTGGATGTCAACATAGTTTATTTAAAGTTTCTTTATATTTTTTTACAGTAAGATGCCCAAATTTTTATTTGAGACTCGCCGAACGGCATTGAATTCACAGATAAAAAAGATGTGCGTTCAACTTTCATTTTGGAACAATTTTTCAAGCAAGGGAAGGGAATGATCTGAGCATGCAGGAGGACTGACCCATCATAAACCTTTGTCGGCTGTGCTGAAGCGAAAGGTACAGAACCAAATTATTTAATTAATTAGCTGCGCGTTCTCCTGTCCTCTGGGCCACACACACACACACACAAGGGACTGTCTCAGCTGTTATTTTCGTTAAGAGTGTGCACGTACAGCATGCGCGCCTCGTGCACGAGCCTACTGTTGAAGCTGCCGTTACGCTTTTGGCCTGAGGGGGCAATCGCGAGCATAAAAATTCAAAACTCCGTAAAGTCCCTTTAATGACCTGGGGTCTCATTTATCAAATGTTGCGTAGAATCCTTACTAAAACCGTACTTAAGCTCAGCAAAAAAAATGTACGTACGCAAAGTACGTTTGTGACCTATAAAAGTACGCACAGCTGCACGCAATCTCTGCTTCATAAATCGGAGACTAACGAGAATGTTTCTCAGCTGCATTTTAGTCACATCCCGCCCTCACCATGCCCACTTACTGCCATAAATGGTCAATGCAAAGTGCCTTGTGGATCTCATGCATATACATAAGCTGGCAGTTGCAGTGCTTCGCCAATGACATGGCGACCGTAGATCAAGGCAGAGAAATTGAGATACTTGCGGGTGAGGTGGAGAAATGAAAGGAAGTGCTTTTGCAAAACAAATAAGAGAAAATTCACGGAGTGGCACAGCGTTGCTGAAGCCGTCAATGTTGTGAATTCTTCAGAGAGATCTGTGGCTGATATAAAAAAAATCGTCCAATCGGAATTCGATCCCCAGACTCCCGGGTGAAAGTCACGCGCGCTAACCAGTCACCCATACAGAGATCTCCCTTGTCCAAGCAGGCAGGGCGCATGATCAATCGGGTCACAGTGACGGGATGCTCAGACTGTCACAGACGCATGCCATTCTGTCTCAATCTGTCCCCCTGCTGATATTCAGCATTCCGTATTCTGCGCTTCAGGCTCTGTGTGTGTGTGTGTGTGTGTGTGTGTGTGTGTGCGTGCGTGCGTGCGTGTGCGCGCGCACGTGTGGGGGGGGTCTTGTTCCGTGTGAAAATGAAGCAGTACAAGTGATAATGCTGCAGGATTTCATAATTTTATCCTTCTCAGCAGCAGCACTGCAGGTGCTCTCCATGTCCAAAATGTGCGTAAGCCAGGTCCTTAGTCAACTTAAAGTTGTGCATATTTTTCCACTAAGTTTTCTTTTGTAAATCCCAAAGTTTGTGTGGAAAGTTGCTTACGCAGTTTTCCGACCCCGTTTTGTGCGTAAGCACGCTTGATAAATGAGGCCCCAGAACTGTTTTGGATTGTTTACTTTGTGAAGTGCCTTGAGCACTATATAAACAAAATGAATTGAATTGAATACTACAGATACAATCACAGAGACACATGGAGGACCGGGACATGGGTCAACAGTAGGGTTGGGCATCGAGCAACGACTGGAACCGGTTCCAACTGTTCATTTTTCCTGGAATTGTTCAAAGTTTTTTATTTCAATTTCTAGTTTAGATTCCTAGAATGCCGCCGGAAGAGGAATCCGCGGCCAATCTCCGTGAAAAATAAACGTGATCTGCAAATTGTGATCAAAGCTTTTCAGAGCTGATCACACCAGCTGTCTGTGTGCAGCACGAGTCCCCCCTCCCCCCACCCGGGGCGCAGCTGCCAGATATAAACAAACGCGTCTGCCGAACTTTTACTCCGTCATGTAAACTTTACCTCCTGCAGCGTAGAGGAAACGTGTTAAAATACGTCAACACGGTGGATTTGACAGAAGCTTTAAAGAACAAACTCTGGACGGTGTGAGGTGAGTTTGTCTCACTGCAGAAATAAAAACACACACAGAGCTTCAGCAGCCAGACGCAGCCACTCACCAACACTGTGTGTGTGTGTGTGTGTGTGTGTCTGTGTGTGTGTGTGTGTGTGTGTGTGTGTGTGTGTGTGTGTGTGTGTGTGTGAGCGTCAGAAGGCTGAACAATAACCTGTAGAATAATTAAAGTCATCATGCTAGAGCAGCTTCTCTGTGGTGCACCACACCAGCTTCTGCCACAATAAATAATTATAATAAATCACACACAAAGTTGTGCACATTTTAATTTCCTTTCTGAACTATTTCTGTTGGGAATTTTAATGTTTAAAACTGTTAGATTGTTACTGACAGCAGCTACATTTAAGTTTCTGTTCTGACTGAAGGCTGCTGCAGCATGGAGGTGTAGCTCTCAGTCGTCCTGGACATGATCATCCTGAGAGTTTTAGCTGAAACCAGCTGGACGTTTCTGGATATGTTGGAGACATTTAGCCTCTCATCCCAGAGGCTTCTTCCAGACTTTGGTTGTGGTCAGAAACAAACACACTGGTTGTGCTGCAAGTCTTTTTCTTTTTTTCTCCAAAACATGTTTTTGTCTAAATGAAGGTGATGTTATTGTTCATAGAGTTAAAATTCATGTTGAAGTTAAGATTATTTCATCAAGTAGGACCTGTGGTTAGCTGGCTCATGTAAAGCATGGAATGTCTTGAAAGAATCGGAATCGGGAATCAATAGGAACCGGAATCGAAACAAGGAATTGGAATCGTTCAAAATCAAACAATACCCAACCCTAGTCAACAGTCTTCTGTCTGACTATCTGAACATTTAAAGTAACACTAAACAGTTTTTAACACTTTAGGCTATTTATTTAAAAGTGGGTTTCAGTGACTGTGTAGGTAGAAACTTGAACAGCATCACCTTGCTGCCCTCTGCTGACCAGAAACCACACCAAACTGTTTTGTGGGATGGGTAGGTGCCCTAGGGAGAGCCCTTCACCTGCTTAATGGCTGTTAGTAGTTAACAGTGTCGGTAGCTAATTTAAAGGCTAGCATTTAGCTTTCTCAGTTTGCCGACTGTCAATAAAAAGCACAAGAAGAAAAATAAGAAATTTGCTTTGTTGGCATCATGTTGGAGTCTGGAAGTAAAACGAAGAGAGTAATGTCTTTGGAGGTGAAGCAAAGAGCTAAAACAAGAGTGGACATCGGCTCAGCCTACACTCGGTTAAGGAAGCTAAAAGAGGCTATGAAATCACGGACTGGTGGTGACCTGGCTTTGTTGCTACTGGACTTGTAAGTAATATCTTTTGTACAACAGTGCGGATCTTTTCACATCCTGGTTTATTTAGTATCAGTTAGTCCGTGTTAGCGGTAGCTCATTGTTAGCACTAGCTACAGCAGGCTGCGGCAGGGTTGTTTTGCTTTCAATCAGTAGGAGGGAGCAGCAGAACCCGTTAAGTGTTACTTTAAGAGTTTCAACTCACCACTGCTACCATCTCTGCAGCATTTCCTCTGGGACATCGAATTATTGGCACCGCACCTGAGGGACCAGAGGTGGTAGTACAGTATCAGGTTAATCTGTCAGGATCAACTAATGTGTAGCCTGTGATAGGAGGAGGAATTACGTTTGCTAACCAAACTCTTAAAACAGAGCTCTGGTCAATGCTGATGTGTTTAGACCAGTTGGACTTACCTAAAGTGACAAAGAAACAGAACAGGCTGTCGACAACTGTGTCCATGATGGCCTCCATGTCTGTGTCCTGGATATCTGCTCTATTGATGGCTGCAGGGGGGGAAGAGATACTTGTCATTAGGTCTCTTCATGACCACAGTAGCAGCTGCTCTGGAGAGATGGAGCAGAAAGCTGTGGTACTTTAGAAGAAACAAGACTACTGTTATGTCTAAAAAGGAAGGTTCTGGGTTCTGGTTGGGATCAGGAGCAGAGGAAAGGTAGGTGTGTGCGTTACCATGGTAGGAAATGAGTTCTTTGTTCTGATGACAGAGGATGAACATGTCATCTTCCAGACTGATGAAGTTCAGGTACTGATCAAACACCTAAACACACAGAAATCATTAATGAACCAGACCAACATGAAAGCTGTAGAATTAAATGATAAAAATAAAGAGTTTGTTAATAAATGTGCTCCTCTTGATGTGGAGGAGCAGCAGCTCTACTCCAAGGACTACAAGAGGTCCAAGCTCCTCACCCGGGGTCTCATTTATAAAACATTGCGTAGAATCCTTACTAAAACCGTACTTAAGCTCAGGAAAAAAAATGTACTTACGCCAAGTACGCACAGCTGCACACAATCGACTAACGAGAATGTTTCTCAGCTGCAATTTAGTCACATCCCACCCTCACTCCCACTTACTGCCATAAATACTCAATGCAAAGTGCCTTGTGGATCTCATGCATACACACGCTTATGCAGCTCTATCGGTCATTTCCACCGGACGACCACACTGTCTCTGCACGAATATAAAACTGTCTCTCTGACATATCAAAATGGGTGACATCCCACCATCTCCAACTCAACCTCTCTAAAACTGAACTACTCGTCATCCCAGCAAAACCATCCATACAGCACAATATCTCAATTCAAAAGGACTTCCTATCTCTGGCTCCTTCAAAGGCAGTTCGAAATCTGGGTGTTGTGATTGATGAACACCTGACCTTTAAAGATCATGTTGCCTCTGTTGCCCGTTCATGCCGCTTTGCGCTGTAAAACATACGAAAGATCAGACCATACCTAACACAACATGCCACCCAGTTCCTGGTGCAATCTACTGTCATCTCCCGCCTCGATTACTGCAATGCCCTTCTAACTGGTCTTCCAGGCTGTACTGTGAGACCTCTTCAAATGGTCCAGAACGCAGCGGCGCGTCTGGTCTTCAATCAGCCAAAAAGAGCACACGTCACCCCTCTGTTCATTGAGCTCCACTGTCTACCGCTAGCAGCACGCATCAAATTCAAATTGCTAACAATAGTATACAAAGTCCGAGATGGTACGGCTCCCATCTACCTGAATCCTCTTGCAAAGGCTTACGTCTCAGACCGGCCGCTCCGGTCATCACAGGATCGTCGGCTAGCAGTGCCTACACCACGATCAGGACAATCCAGACTCTTCTCATGCATCGTTCCACAAATGTGGAATGACCTTCCAAGCACTACCAGAACAGGGGCTTCCTTTTCAATTTTTAAGAATCTCCTGAAGACCCTGCTCTTCAGAGAGCATCTTCTAAACTAGCACCCTCCCTGCACCCGTCCCCCCTCTCTACTGTCCACTCCTGCTCTTCATGACTGATGTCAATGTTGTTGTTGTTATTGTTGTTGTTAGCCTCAAGGGCAACATGCCGATTATCACTTGTAAGTCGCTTTGGACAAAAGCGTCTGCTAAATACATAAACATAAACATAAGTCGGCTGTTGCAGCGCTCCGCCAATGACGATGGCGACCGTAGATCAAGGAAGCGCAATTTCACAAAAGCAGAAATTGAGGAACCTGTGGGTGAGGTGGAGAAATGACAGGAAGTGTTTTTGCAAAACAAATAAGAGAAAATCCACGGAGTGGCACAGCGTTGCTGAAGCCGTCAATGTTGTGAATTCTTCAGAGAGATCTGTGGCTGATATAAAAAAAATGGTCTAATCGGGATTCAATCCCCAAACTCCCGGGTGAAAGTCACGCGCACTAACCAGTCACCCAAACAGAGATCTCCCTTGTCCAAGCAGCCAGGGCGCATGATCAATCAGTGACTGGACACACACACTGTCACAGACACATGGCATTCTGTCTCAATCTGTCCCTGTTGATATTCTGCATTCCATATTCTGCACTTCAGGCTGTGTGTGTGTGTGTGTGTGTGTGTGTGTGCGTGCGTGCGTGTGTGTGTGTGAGTGAGTGTCGGAGGTCTTGTTCTGTGTGAAAATGAAGCAGTACAAGTGATAAAGCTGCAGGATTTCATAATTGTATCCTTCTCAGCAGCAGCACTGCAGGTGCTCTCCATGTCCAAAATGTGTGTAAGCCAGGTCCTTAGTCAACTTAAAGTTGAGCACATTTTTCCACTAAGTTTTCTTTCATAAATCCCAAAGTTTGCGTGGAAAGTTGCTTATGCAGTTTTCCGACCCCATTTTGTGCGTAAGCAAGCTTGATGAATGAGGCCCCTGGTCCGTGGTTCCATGGCCAGGATGAAAACCGCATATCTCCTCCTCAATCTGAGCTTCAACTATCAACAGGAACCTCCTCTCCTGAACCTCAGAGTAGACCTTGCTTAGAACATTTGCAAAATATCTTCGAACTAAAAAAAAAAAAACTGAAACAAAAGCATGAAAAATGCTCACTGAACACAACACATGGCAGCGAGATGTACAGAGTCAGATGTAACCATGGTAACCTTTGTGACTTGGCTAACAGCATTAGCAGCCAGAGCAGCACTGGCGATGTCCTCCAGTTTACTTCTGCTGATGGCTGAGATGAAGTTCATGTAGTAGGACTCATACAGCTGGTTCCTCAGGTCCTGCACACACAGGGCACACCGTCAGACTGAACACTAGTTTGGGTTCATCACAGGCACATCGACACACAGGGACCAAAGTCATAAACATTACCCTACATCTGGCATTAACTGTGTATTATTGGGTTCAGCCATAAGGGAGTCTGAGCCCGTCTCAGCTCCGTTGGGTGGGGAGTCATCTAGATTCTCAGGAGGGTTAATACGATGTTTCATTCCTGCTTGTAGCTTAGTTTAGATTAAAATGTAAAATCAGTCCTTCATGGAAATCTGTAATCTTGAGTAAATGAAGATTAACTTGTTCACAGTGATGATAAAACCCCTTAAAGTATTCTCCACCTCTGAGGACAGGCTGACAGGATGTTTGAAAAACCTCCAATCAAATTACATTTTATTCATAACCGATGAGTAAAGGTGACATTAAGAATGTTTCAAAATGAGAAATAACCACAAACATCACGACCTCTGAGGCAGCGCTGCGCGGTAACTGATGACCCGAAACCAGACTGATTCAGAGGTGTTTCCACCGTCAGGTCAGTTAAACGTGAAATCACCTGACAAATCCTGTCGATGTTCTCCTCTGTGGGCATGAGAAAATAAACAGCTGGAACATCTGGAATGGGATCTCTGTCTGAGTGAAGGAGGCTGGAAACACACACACACACACACACACACACACACACAATGAATGTATAATAATTAAGCATACAGACAAAACAGTAGAAACATCTGAGGACAAACATCAGTCAGATTACCAACAGCTAATTCTAACAGGAATACTTAGTACAGACGTTGGTCAGAGATATGAAAAAGGACAAGTTTGTAAATGGTATGCATCGAGTATGAGCGTAAACAAGTGAAAATATTACACACTGTGCCTTTAAGCCTCTTAGAGCTGTCCAGCTGCAGACAGAGGCCAATGTTACACTCAGAATGCTTATTCAGTGAGGAGAACACTTTAAGGAATCTGTTTGAATGATACTGATGGCAAACGGCGTGGTGTGTCGGCCCAGAAACATCAGCCTAATAGAGGGGTTAAAGTGGCAGTAGAATACTGTTCATTTACAATTGGAAACTGTTCTTTGAGTCTCTAAAGCATATGACATTTTGTTGGTGGTCTAAATGTTCCAGGAGTGCTGAAAACTGGACAACTACAACCCCATAATAAACCATTACCATGAAAAGATTCCCCCGCCCACCACGCCTAGACATGAATATCTAATGAGCTGCATGCTTACATGCAACTTGTTTGGTTCCTTTGCCCTTTGGCAGCAAGTGTCTCGATCTCACTGTCAATTAAGTTTTTGTGGGTTTTTTGGGAAAAACTCAGGGAATTCCCTCATGTGCTGAGGACGTAGCGTGACCAAAAATGGTAAACTGAGGGCGTTTCTGTATGTAAATGACTGATAATGGACATGAGCACCTGGGTACACACAGGTGGGATTTATCGGACGATTGCAGAGGAACATGCGTACGAGAAGCCACCGCATTCTTCATAGATCAGGATTTAGACTGTTCATACGAACATTCTACATTTCATTCGTGGGAAGGAATATTGGACAGTTTCTAGGAGTGTTTGATAAACGAGAGCTCTACAGAGTACATGTTCAGCATGGAGGTTCTGGTCACCCATCATTTTAATATAGAAAATAGGTTTTCTCTGTCACTGCGGGATCTGATGTGTGTTAATTTAGTCTCAGAATAATAAACAGGTCCTACAGGTGAAGCGTGATGCCCATGTCTCGCAGCTCTTTGACAGAAAGCAGTGGAGAAATTATATCTTGGCCAAACCGGTCGTAAATCAGCACCTGGAAACAAACACACACACACACACACACACACACACACACACACACACACACACACACACACACACACACACACACACACACACACACACACACACACACACAATAAATCCATCTCCCCCTCTCTTATAGAGTCATGTTCATCTTCCAATTAAATTTTGGTTTAATGGAAAACTCAGCTGAAGAGAAACTTTTACTAAAAATGACTTTAAATTCTTTTGTGTCTGAAATAGTTGCCGGTCTGAACAAAACACACAAGACCTTAAGTCATAACTAATTAAATCAATTAATTTAAATCTAAAAATCACAGCTTTTTAATAAATTTAGACTCATTTATTTTGAAAGCATGCTTTAAGAAATCCATAATCCTTTTCCAGTTTTTCTTTCATTTTAACAGATTAGAAATCTTAAAAAAAACACTCCAACGATGATTAATGACTAAGAATCCAATCAGAACTCTACAGACATGAAGGGTCCTACATCGATTTTATACAGTTAAAAGTCTGTTTATCATGCATTCGTTTTGGGTAAAGATGTTGGATATCGGGCAACATCGGATATTGGTAATAAAGCTAACTTCTAATTTCTGATAAAAAAAAAATAAAGTACTTCAGGTAACTAACATCACATATCTCCTATTGCGCATACTGAAACATTAAGTCATCTGTGTAAACATCTTGAGAAAGTACTTTGATTTTAGTTAGGACAATGGTGCCAAACAACAGAAATATCTCTAAAAATAAACATTAGATTTGTCATATTTTGACATTTTGAGTGAGAGGAGAAGTAGCTGAATAGGTTGATAATAAAATGGTATGTAAAGGTCGTGTCTGTAAAATGTTCAAAACTGATACAGATCATCTCCGATATTACATTTCAATCCAAATATCAGACATCCCTGCTTTTGGTGACTTTAGTTTCTGCGTGTGTGGCTTTACCTTCCATACAGGCTCGGCTGCTGCTTTCTTCAGAGGAGGAGAGTTGAAGTTCAGCATGCGCTTTAAAGCAACTGCACAAACACAAACAAGTCACTGAAATATTGTCTTAAACTTGTTTACAACAGAAAATAATTAGTACTAACAAGGTGTAAATTCAGAAAACACATCCCCCGATAGTTGTGATAATAATAATTAAAATAGATTGGATTTATGGATTATTCACACACTCTCACGTTCACCTACTGCTAGTGATTGTAAGCTACTGTGTAGCCACAGCTGCCCTGGGGCGATCTGACAGAGGCAAGGTAGTCATTTAGTGCCATTGACCCCTCTGACTACCACCAACACAGACAAGTCAGGTGAAGTGTCTTTCTCAAGGAAACAACAGCAGGATACCCGTGACGGGAGATGGACTCAAACCCGCAATTCTTCCATCATGAGGCAACCTGCTCTACCTACTGAGCTACTGTTGATCAAATCACACACCCCTGGAATAGTCAACAGTAATCACAGCCCCCCCCCCCCCCCCTACACACACACACACACACACACACACACAGATGAGACCAAGCTCCTCCCAATATGTATGTGTTGTAAAATTGGCACATGGTCCCAAAAAATGGTCAGCATTCCAACAAAAGATGTTATAAACTTAAAAACTGGAATACAATAATTGTCGCCAGCGGCTGTAATAAACTGACCCTGATTATTACAGAAATGTTTATTTCTCTCCAAGGTTCTGATGTCATTTTCCCTCTCTTACTTAAAGATGCTGATTTTATTTCATTTTCAGCTTAAGTTTTTTATTCATGATCACCTGATAAACCCCATCACCGACCTACCCTGACCTCTACATCCAACTCTACAGCATCCTCTCGGACCTAACTCCACATTTCTCCTTCCCTCTCTATGTGCTGCTGTAGCAAGTGAATTTCCACTGTGGGATTAATAGTCTATTATATTCTATTAACCCTGATCTTGCATCGGAACTAAAGCAGATCGTTTCTTACAAATGACTAATGTATCCATCAATAATTACAATAATTACCCCCTTTGAGTATGTTACATTTGAAGTCTAACTCCTGTGGCTCAAAAGCCCAAGTAAACAAATTGTTATTAGCAGCAGCTAGCTCACACCAGGAACAGATGAATAACGCGTTTAGACAACTGGTTTTTGCTCTAATTGTATTTCTGTGTAGAAATTGTTTCTTTAGCGGATAACTGGACGAGTTAAAACCATGGTTAAAAGACACACAGCTGTTAGCAGCTCAACGCTAGCTAGCTAGCTGATGAAGCAGGCTGGATGAAGCCAGTTGGAGACTTCACAAACCTGGAATAATAATCCGAGTTCGGATAAAACTTTACGCTACTCGGTTTCACTGCTTTCTACCACTGACAGTTGGCTTTACTGGTGAAAAAACAACTAGTTTCACTCACCGGTCTGCTTATCGCGAACAGACGTCGCCATGTTTTATGTTGATAGTGGTGACGGAGCATCTGCGTGACGTGGCATCAACCTCACGTCATTCCACTTCAGACAGGGGGCGTGAAATTAGGATGGCTCACTCTGACTATTCCTACAAGCTATCCTGGAAACACTAACGCTGGATAGGTAAATAAATATAAATTGCCATCTCACCCTCCATGGGTGGTCTCCTTCCAAGCCCGGGTCCTTCACCAGAGGCCTGGGGAGCTTGAGGGATCTGTGGTTAGCAGTTTCTAGAACTGCACTTTTCTGGACTGAGATGTCTGATGTTTCTCCTGGGATCTGCTTTTGCCACTCCTCCAGTTTGGGGGTGAGTGCCCCGATGACCAAGGGTAACATCGATGTCTCCACTCTCCAGACTTTCTCGGGTTCTTTGAGGCCCTGGTACCTCTCTAGTTTCTCTTGTTCCTTTTTCCTGATGTTGCATCATTTGGTGTTGCCACATCAACCACAAAGGCTGTCCTCTGTCCGTCCAGTGCCCTTTCATAAAAGTAAATTATATAGAGCATACAACTTGAAATACATTTATTTTTACATTTTTTTATTTGTGAGATTATCACCAATGAACAACATAGGGGTTTCCAGCCAGACACTGCTGCCTTGGATTCTACTAAATAGAGGGAAACATTTGAAACTCAAACATAAACCAAAAAAGTTGAGTCTGCTCATCCAACACTTTAGATAATCTGTCAAGCATTTAAATTCTTACTCTTAAAAATGTCTGACATATGAAATAGCACCAACATAACAACAAATATAAAACACACACACACACACACATTGACTATAATAGTTGATGACAGCAACAATAAAAACAGGAGTATGAACATTACTCTTTAAAGAACGTTTATAAACAGGATCGCCATCTGGTTCTCACTCTGAATGTCGGAGGTGAACATGGAGGCTGATGGCGTGCTCCATAGAGTGCTTGAAAGTCTTGTAGGAAGAGGTGACGGGCAGGAGGAGGCTGTTGGATTCTGGTTTGCTCTGAGGAAAAAGCGCCTCCTCCCATGACTTTCCCTCACTCTCCTCCTGCTCTTTTAGTTCTGCTTGGGGAGAGGTGGACTGGTGGAGGAAGGAAATAGAAGGAGGAGGTAGGAGGTCGGCTGGTGGAAGCCTGTCGGCTCCGATGACAAAGCAGAGGATGTCCTGCAGAGAGATGGAGCTTCTTCCAACTGTGGAAAAGGGAGGTGGTCACTCAGAATAGCAAACACTCTGATACCAATCCTCTGTCTGAGTCTGTTAAATCGTCGATGAATAAAAGCTTAGATCATCATTCTACCTTCACACTCCAGCAGGAAGTGTCTCCAAAAGGTGACAACGGGTGTCTCTCGTTCCAGTTTGTCCTGCTGCTCAGAGAAGCTAATGGTGAAAACCTGGCTGAGAGTCTGAGCTGTGATGCGCTCTGCAGACTCACAGAACACACGGTAGAAGACCGAAGGGAAGAGCTGAACCTGGATCAGATCAAAAACCACTATTAGCTCACGTGCTTCTGACTCGAGTCCATCCCACAACACATCAACAACATTTGACTTATTTAGAGGATTTCTGTCCACTAACAGAAATAATTAGACAAACATTACCTGACCACCGACACCCAAAGTCTGCAGACCTTCACGAAACCTACAAGACAAAACCAGACAAACAATAAATCATCACATCGTCCAGTTAAATGTCAGCTCACACCCATACAGAGCTATGAGACATGGAGGGAGGTAACTGTCTCCTGCAGCATGTCACACTAAAGACCTACCGTCTAAATTCGAACCATCAGCTATGCTTGCTTGTTTTACCAAGGTCTCCTTTGAAGACATGTGGTAATGGGGCTTTCTCGGTCCAAAGTCATGAAACAAGCTTCCATTTTAGATAAGATTCTTCATCTGTGGCAGTTTTAAAACAAAGCTGAAGACCTATTTTCTGGTTTTTACCTCATCCTATTTTATTTAACTTGATTTATTGTGTTTGTGCTTCTTTTATGGTTGATTTTATCAGTTTTGTTTAAGTCCACAGCACCTTGGTGGCATAACTGATGTCGGTATTAGGGTTGGACGATATATGGAAAATGCATATCGATAAAAAAATTCACAATGATCAATATCAATAGTTATCGATAACTATGAAAACAAGTAGATCATATATTTGAACTGCATCCCTGACCATTTAATATAATAACTTAATGATAAAACACATGGCTGTGTTACCAGATTTGGTTTTATCGATTCTCTACAAATTCACTTGTTTGATTTTTTTTCCAGACTTGTAAAAATCCAAATATTGTCATGTTGTTGAACCTTTTTTGGGACAATTTTCTCTGCCTCTTCTTGCTGCGACATCTTGTTTAAAGTCCCATTAGTCGCCACACACTGGTGAAATTATACCTCAGCATTTAACCCATCCCTTAGGGGAGTGGTGAGCTGCAGACCCAGGAACTATTTTGTGGTTTAGCCCCCCCATCCAACCCCTTGATGCTGAGTGTCATGCATCCCTGGGTTTGGTATGGCCTGACTGTGGATTTGAACCCACAATCTCCCATTCTCAGGGCAGACACTCATACCAGTAGGGCAATGAACTGGTTACCATATTTTCCGGACTATAAGTCGCACCAGCCATAAAATGTATAATGAAGAAGAAAACATATAAGTCACATTTTGGGGGGAAATTTTATTATTTTTCTTACAAAATCTGAGACCAAGTATTTCACATTGCAAGACAAGTACCGGTAACGATAACAGAATAAGCAACGCGGGTGCAGCAGTGCGCCACAGTCTCCAGCAGAGGATGGAGGTGTTTCAAACCCTCCCAGCGGGCGAGGATAGCTCATTCCTGGGTCGCAGGCTGCAGCAGGTGATGGCGGGGTGGAGGAGCAGCCATGCCCAGCAGGTGATGGCTGGGCAGAGGAGCTGAAACCTGGGCCAGATCCAGTGCGCAACAGCGTGCAACAGGCTCCAGCAGGTGATGGCTGTGTGTTTTTTATTCCCAGCGGGGAAGGGGAGCTCATTCCTGGTCCGGAGCCGGCCCACAGCAGCCTACATAATTTGGTATATAAGTCGCTCTGGAGTATAAGTCGCAGGACCGGCCAGACGATGAAAAAAAAGTGTGACTTATAGTCCGGAAAATACGGCACATGCTCTCTGTTTATGTTCGGGGGAAGACTTGGTGTTTAATGACTTGTTTCAGGACCAGGGGCTGGCCTTGGTACTTTTGACTCAATTTGTCTCACCTCTGAAGTGGGAGCTGCATCCTTGTGATCATGGTGAAGCTGACCAAGTCCTCCACCAGTACTTCTCTCTCCCGCAGGCTCCTGACTGGTTGGTTACAGCCAGCTAACTCCAGGAACTCCCAGCTAGCTGCCATGGCTTCTCTCAACTTATCTAAAGATTCTGCCTCTGCAATCTGAAACCATAGATACCAGCTAGTCAGCTTCTAACTTCATAATGTCAATGATGTGTGTGCAGGAGCTGTGAGGTTAAAGGTCAGACTCTGTCCTGCACTCACCTGTCGGACTTGGTGGGTCAGGTGTGTGTCAGGGGTCATGTGCCTGAGAGAGAGAGGGCGGTTGGCCGGATAGTTAAACAGACACTGGTACAGAGCCGGGGAGAAGAACCCCACAGGTGGTCCGCCATGGGCCAGGGACAGGGCCAACAGGCAGCCCAGGTCAAAGTACGAGTCATCACGGAGAGCTGGAATGAACACACACACACACACACACACACACACACACACACTTTACTGAAGTGGACCGGACCTGATCTGAACTACTTATTGATGTGTTGTGCTTTGAGACAATGTTGGCTCTGAACTGGTTTTGGATCAAACTGAATTAAAAGGTTTCTACTCATGTATTTGAGTTAGTTTCTGATTTAAAAAAAAAAGTCTTCTAACCCTGGGAGTCCAGGGCCAGGTTTTTGCATCCACTTGGACCTTCAAACACCTCAGAGTTATGGATCTGCTGCAAGAGCAGCTTCAGGAAGAATGTCCTGGCTGTGTCTTCATCCTGGGCTGCGTACTGCTCATCTCTGAATCTGAAAGATAAAAGACCGTCACAACAGAAGGTGTCGGGACAAACAGGAGTAAATATGTATTTGTCTTCAGACCTGATCAACAGTGTGTGTGTGGGGTCAAAGTCCGGCCTCCTGACGAGGTCCAGACCAGCTGACAGAGCCTGATCTCCATCCACCTCAAGCTCCACACTGAAAGGATGATGTTGAGGGACTATGGATTGAAGGATCTCCTCAGGTGACTCAGGTCTTACGGGTAAACTGGCTCTGAAAGAGACAGAACCAAAACTCTACCAACACTGAATCTTGCTCAGAGCCACAGGGCAGAAATGGACATGTATACCTTTTACTGTGTTTGGACAGCAAATTTCTTCTCTGACCTGCACGGGGGGGTGTAACCAGGAATGCTAAAGTGGTCAACAACAACGACTAGTTAGTGGAGGAGCTCAGCAGCTGGACCTTTGTTTAGCAAAGACACACCAGCAACCAGGTCAGACCTCTTTTATTAGTAGCCCTGGTGCAGTCGGAGCAGGCCCAGTCTCTAGCGTCCAACTTCAGTCCTGAACATTTCCTGTGAGTCCCCCTGGATCCACACAGGCAGCACCGGATCACCATAAACCAGCTGGAACCAGAAACAGAACCGTTCTTAATTCTTGTCCTTCACATACTGAAACAGAGAAAAGAGCAGGAGCACCCTGTGCATGTTACGTGCACGTTAGGCTACACAGCACATCAGAACAACAGCAACCTGTCTGGTTGATGCTGGTGATGCAGGTCCAGGAGCCAGAGCAGGTTAACTCTACAGGGACGTCCCCCGCCCCAGACAAAGGCCAGAAGAAGAGTTAAAACTCTATCTGTCCTGTAGGTTACCATATACAAATTAAAGGCCCAGTGTGTGAAAATGTTTCGACTCTTTAGCACCATGCAGTTCAGAGTAGGTATTGCAGCTACAGTAGCGCACATGCACCAAAAAGGCAATTTGTCATCAACGACTTCCAGCTCAAGCTTTAGGGTGTTTGATTATAGATGGAAGCTCTGGGTGTGAATATTAAAACTTGATTGTATAAAAGACTTTAGTTAAGAATATTTGTTCAAGCTTTCGGTCAACAGACCTTCATTAGGAATTGTAAATGTTCATCCAGAGAGTTCCTATTAAAAGGCAAAAACAGCTGATGTTGAACACCTGGGTCAATTCCACACAGCAAGGCATTATGGGGGATGGAGTCCCTTTCACATAACAGTGCCTTGACACAAGAAGTTAACAAAATCTTATAAAAACACTTCCAAAACATCTATCAGGCGAAAGAGATTAATACATTGCAGACATCGAGCTGGAAAAGCCTTCGTTGAGCAAGCTAAAATGATGTATTAGACGGAGTGTTCTGGGAGAAACCCCCACCCCCCGTTTTCAACACTAGCCGTCATCTTGGAAACTCCCTTAGCTTTGTTGTTTAGCTAATTTGGATCCGTTTATAAACAACTGAGACAGTTCACGGATTTTACTCTGCAGCTGAAAGCAGAACCCAACGTACCCACTCTTGTCCGAGAACGTGCGTCCGTCGCTGCAGAGGCAGATCAGAGAATCGCAATGCTCGTAAACCTCCAGAAGCTCGGAATATGCGTTTGCCTCCAACTCCCATGATGCATCTCTGCACAGGCGGAAAAAAAGACTGCATCATTACTAAAACACACAAGGAGTCAGGTTTTCTGTTGGCAGTAACTGGAACAAACAGGACAGCTCTACTGAAAGACCAGGGCCCTCATGTACAAAGACAGATGTCCTACTAAACGATGGAAATTAATTCAGAAAGCCCGTTTGCACAAACAAACCCAGATGTATCAACGTGTGTGTCCTCACGGATCCAACCACATTTCCTGTGTACATTGTTGGGTATTTTTTTTTTATCCTGAAACTGAACCCTTAAATGAACCCTGAAATGAAACCACACAGGAGAGGAAGTCATTAGGTTTTTTAACGATGTGAGGAGACAGCGAAGACCAACCAGCCAAAAGCCTGTCCCAGGCCTCTGTCCGATTTACTCTGGCCTCCCTCTGCACCACAGCTTGGTTTCATTGAAACACAGGCAGACATGACAAAGGACCATACACCACTGTCACACTTAACCAATAAACACTGTTGCTTCTATCTAAGGCGGGACCTTCTAAAAAGGAAGTCTCAAGTTACAGGGGTGACCCATTCAGCCTGCTAGCTTTTCCTGTTGCCAAGCAGAGCCTTCCCAAAGGAAGTCTTAATTTATGACTGACAGCCAGAAACTCAGTAACCAGAGATACATGTTAGGCAGGCTACTCTCCAACCCCCATGCAGACAAACATCAGGACTTATCAGCCACATTCCACAGCTAGGAGGAAAGGAGAAAGCCCTCTGTGGCTTTCTTATTAACATATGAGTACTGAAAGAGGAACATTTGAGACAGTAATACATCAAAATATCTAACATGCATCCTGACCAACATAGGATTGGGCCTCATGAGGAATCACCAGGTTCCTCCCCTTGACTCGTCTTAATTTACATATGCTAATGGGGGCTAATATGTCCTGCAGATGTTTTTGTTTTAATACCCACTCATGTCACTGCAACACTTTGATGTGTTATTGTTCATCATACGTTTCCAGTGTGAGAGGGAACCCCAGCCCGAGTTACACTGAACAAAAGCCCCTTGATATGGGGCACCCACCTGTGAGGTGAGATGGATTATCTTGGTAAAGGAAAAGTGCTCACGAACACACACATAGACAGATTTCAGAACAATATTTGAGAGTCATGGGTGTTTTGTGTATGTAGAAAAAGTTTCAAATGTTTGAGTTCAGCTCATGAGAAATGGGAGCAAAACCAAAGTGTTGCATTTATATTTTTGTTCAGTGTATTTTAATAGTCACCCAGCCTGCCTACTAAGTTTTGCAATAATTGTAGAAATGTGCGTACACCAGACATGAAGTTCACAAGCTCACTTCAATACTGATAAATTTGAATATTTGTGTGGAAAAAGGCGAACGCCAGGATGTCATATACATGAGGTCCCTGGTATGGAGTTTGTGGCCCTTCTCCAGAAGTTCCTACTCAACATGGTTCAGGTGGTTTTCCATTACAACTTAGAAATGGCTCTGCTGGGTGGGCTCGTGGTAGTGGAACAGCCCCAGAGTTATAAAAATACAGCTACACAAAAAAGACAACATGGAGACGCTGTTGAACATTCTGTGGCTTTCGTCAGACTGAGAAGAGACCTAGAAAAGGCTGTGGGCAGCAAGGCGGAGCACGCTGGAGCAACCGTTGACTCCGCCTCCTGGCCCATCAGTGACAGTCTCTTTCTTTACATTTTTGGCCTGGCTCAGTACGCTTAGAATGACAGTGAAGCCGTTTATAAAAAAAAAAAAGGTGCTTAAACCTATTACTAGTGGGAACGCCTTGAAACCACACCGTACCAACCCAACTGGGCTGTGCTGAGGTTCTGGTGGAAAAGGGCTGTTACTGGTGAGGAAACAGTGTTTGTGTTACCTCTCTGGGATAAAGATCCCCATCCTGAGCATCTCCTCCTGGAACTGGTCTTTGTTGTTACAAAGAGTGCACTTGAAGAAGAAGAGGCCTGCACTGTGGGCCTGACGCTGACACACAGACACAACCAGGAAATTAGAGGGGTTTTACTATGCTAAACTACAAGAACCAACTCCACATTCTAATCTGACCGAGAGAACAAGAAGACAACACATCAAGTTTCTCAAGTAGAAAATAGGTTAAATATATTGTATCGGATTGATATCGGTATCGTATTGGAAGTGAAAAGGTTGCATCGGGACATCCCTAGATGAAACCTGTGAAACCTGGTTTCTCTAAACTTACTCTACCTGCACACAGTCTCTGTGGAACCAGCTGGCGTGGCAGGATGGACATTTCAGAATAGAGTAGGACAGAACCGGTTCGATGGAGTCCAAACAGATGGAGCAGGAGTGAGGGAGACTGGAGTCCGACCCCAGGGACAAGGACTGGGAAGGACTGTGATCTTGGCAGTAAGTCCTGAACAGAGACAGGACAAAAAACTTGAGCTTCTTCCTTCACATAGAATTTTTCATCCATTTGGATTTACCAAGGAGGCTTTCTTATGCCTAAAGAGCAAAATGAAACTGGTACTTAAGGTACTTCTTCATTTGGCTATTGGAGTTTTTGAAATACCCTAAATTAACTATGCTCCATGGAGTCCTGACAAAAATTAATTGCACATTCTTGTGAGTGTTTATTGTTGTGTGTGTATGTGTGATTACATTGTATGTACAGCACAATAAAGCATTTTCAGTAATACTATACTAGCTTGTGTCAGAACTCACGGGAACAGTCCAGTAAACTGTGAGATGAATTTGTGTTTCCTCCCACAGGGGTAGTGCACCGTCTTTCTGCAGTTTGTGATGTTACAGCCAACGCATGCTCCCTTCTTCTTACAGCCAACACACCTCTGGAGATACACACCCAGCACACAAACAGGACAAAGGTCAAACAGCTAGACTCTGTCCTGAGATGGGTAGTTTCTGCATAAACTTGTTAAACAGATCCAGACTGGTTAAAAAAAGATAAAAAGTCTAAAAATCGTCGGCTAGCAGTGCCTACACCACGCTCAGGACAATCCAGGCTCTTCTCATGCATCGTTCCACAAATGTGGAATGACCTTCCAAGCACTACCAGAACAGGGGCTTCCTTTTCAATTTTCAAGAAACTCCTGAAGACCCTGCTCTTCAGAGAGCATCTTCTTAACTAGCACCCTCCCTGCACCCGTCCCCCCTCTCTACTGTCCACTCCTTGTTCCCTCCTCTCCATGATTGATGTCAAGTTGTTGTTGTTGTTAGCCTCAAGGGCAACATGCCGATTATCTCTTGTAAGTCGCTTTGGACAAAAGCGTCTGCTAAATACATAAACATAAATAATGTCATCTGACTAAACAAAACATCCTATTTTAATATGAACGACGATCAAATGAACTGGGTAGTTCACCAAGCTACTTACCAGTCGACTCGACCTTCTGACCTCCTGTTTGATGTCCTCCACCAGGAATCCAAAGACGCCCTCATCTTCTTCTCCTCGTTGGTAAATTCCATTAGACGTTAGCTGGTAAACCAACAAATTTACATTCACTCACACACTGAAAACACCTGAGGTACACCACTCTAAGAGGTTCATCAGTTTCCCAAAAGTTAACTTCCTGCCCAAGACAGGTCGTGTTGGCCCGACACCAGGAAGAGGCATTAATGAATATCTCCTGACCTTTCTGTATCCTTATTGACTTCAAGGTCTCCTCACAAGACATCTCTAAAGGAGACAAGACTTTTATCCAACTTCCTTTTAATAAAAATATCTTATTCTGGCTCATAAAATGATTTCTTCACTTTACAGGTTAAGAACAATTACATTAAATAATGAATGTTTATCTAAAGTGGTTTAATAATCATTTTATATTAAAAAATGAATCAACATAAATGTTTATTCTGGAAATAATGCTTTATTTCATTATAAAATTCAACAGGTAGACTTATTTGGTGTATTAAAGATCTTAAATTATCAGTATATTCACATTTTAATATTGGTATATTAACAAAGGAACATATTTACTTCATATTAAGTGAAATAAGCTTTTCTAAGCGGCTGAGGATCCTGTTAATGCCCATTTACACTTGTTAGATTCGGATTTGTCAAGAACTGATAAATAAGAAATGTTAGGCATTTCAGTTCCTGCAGAAGCTTCCAGCGTATGCTAAAATTATCATCCCAGGGGAAATCAAGCCAGCTTTTTCTGTGGATTAGTTTTTAGCGCCAGAAAGAGCTGTCCTATCAAAATAAGACAATTATTATTATTTACTCCATCATCTACAAACAACTCATGAGCTGTGAAACGGTCCGCCTGCAGCCCGGGAGTCGACCTCTGACCAGCTGGTGCGAATACGGCCCGTGACATCCAGGTGTCAAACATTTTGCTTTCCAAGGAGAACTTTAGCTCAGCAGGATCGCAGAGGAGTCTCCATACACATGTGGGACCGCATTTCTGCACTGGCGTTTGATGAGTCAATTTTAATTTGATAACTTGTTAAACCGCATTAAACAAACAGTCAAATTTATTTTATAAACCAAGACATCACACCTTTCTGAGTCACTTAGTGAAGCTCTTAAACATGCATGGTCATGTTTCATCGGAGTTCATTCATTGTCTCGTTTGATATCACTTTGAATCACCATTTATAATCATGTGCATTACATCATCATAGAAATATAGTAGTAAATAGATTTTTATAAACTATATTTTTGCCCCTGTGTCAAATGATTAGTGTCGTTTTCCTGGCGTTACCCAAATTACCTAGTTTCATCATCAATCGAATACTAAAGGTTCAATAATATTGATAATTAATATTTTTTATAAAATATTAAATTTTACTGAATACTTTTATATTTTATTTACAATTTACTAAAAGTAACCACTTACAAACGTTACAATAGGATGTTCCAGAAGGATAAAAATGTCTTCACTCACTCTGAACAGAAAGGTCCCTCAGGACGTCGTGATGATGAAGAGTTTAACCTTTAGTAAAACTCACCAAACAGAAGTAGTGGACGGAGAGGTTGTGATCCTTGAGCTTGACCTTTTCTCCATACAAGGCTGGGTCATCATCAGCGAATCGACACAGAACACAGTCTGGACACACACACACACACATACACAAATCCATAGTTACAAGCTTCCATTTGTGGTGTGTACAGATTCTAGAACTTCTACAAACTGACCTAAGTTTCTTACAGTTTGTAACTCCAAACATTTTGCTCTACTGGACCATTAAGCATGAAAGTCTTAGGTATTACCACCTGAGTCTCATGTTTTCTGCATACTGCTCTGAGTTGGTCAACCAGTATTGGGTCTATCCCAGGGAGCTGGAGCCTTTTGCAGCTCTTCAGTTACAGTTTGGCCACAATAACCACCATGATGAACATGACCATGAAGATGCCCATTGTAACATGTAGTACCAGGGCAGTTAAAGTCACAGGTTGATGACTGACCTTGTAGTCAGATCAGACCTTAGTACAAACTTTATAAAGACATTACAGAATGGCTCTTTTGCAAAGTTTTGATTGTACTATTTATTGTGTCATTGGGGTTTTATAAAATAGTTTTCACAAATGTAATCCTAGTAACCTCACAACCTCAGCATAGGATATTTGTTGGGACCCTCTTTTTTTTTTGGGGGGGGGGGCATGAACCCCAGATTGTTTATCACCGTTATGAAGAACAGGTTTAGGTGTGGACATCACTCACGATCTTCTTGCTTGGTGGATCCATCGGTGGAGCGAGGCATCTTGACCCTCTTCTTCATACTGGTTGTTTTCCACCTGTTGGCGAATGATGAAGGCTAGCAAATCATCGTCATGAATAAAACACACCATTTAGATCATCTACACAAAGAAAAAAAAACATGCTTCAGCCTCCTGAAGCACAACCACACCAACAATGTGTACACTGACTGGCCACTTTATTGGGTATACCTTGCTAATAATCATCTTCCTGCACCTCCACCCCCCCCCCCCCCCCCCCACACACACACACACACACACACACACACACACAAATTCAAAGTTGTGGTGCATCACCTACAGAATTGCCCCTGAAAGATTGGATATAAGTCTGTCCCCCTGTGATCCACTGGTGAACATTTGAACTGCTCCAACTCAGCTAACCGACTCGGAGGGAACATAAATGTAACCAAGTCAAACCCAAAACTCACAAAGAGAACACAATACATTCGTGATTTTTGAAAGTTTAACCAAATAATATTTTAGGTTGAGTTAAATAAGAACACTTTTTCAAACAATGGATTCTTTAAAACACTCGAACATCTGAACTTGATCGAACGTAGACACGAATAACTAAGCGCTCGACGAACACGAAAAAGTTAAATCACTCACGAAGCGACTAAATAATTCTTACTTTACATCCAAGGAAGCAGAATTTTGGTTTGTGTCCAAATACGAGTCCGTTTTTTGTGTAAATCGATTTCCAGTTTACGTCTGCAGCTTCTGACGCCTTCCAGTTTAAATTTCCCTCTTTTCAAAACAAAAGCCGCTCATTTCCGTTTCCGGTCTGCTGTGTTTGGGTTTTTGGCACGTATATAAACGTATATATTAATGTCGATGATATAAACATGTTTATATACGTATCTATGACTTTTTGGACCACGGACACATATATCGATCGTCTTTCTCTCCCACAATTGATTATTTCATTTAGCAGCTGACAGTCTTCCCTCCCTAAGTAGACTGTCCTGCCACCAACAGAACAGCTATTTTGGACCTCGGTGAAGTTCAGCTGCAGACCCTCTCCAAACCATAGACATATATACTGGACAATGGGATTCCATAGGCCCCAATAACGAGCAGCTAGGTATTATTGCCCACAATGCGGCTCTAAAATTGAGGCCAACCCGGAAGTACCAGAAACTGCAGTTCCACCCTCATCCGCTGGGGGCTGGTGTCAAAAGCGAGCAAATCCTCATTGACTCCCATGTTAAAAATACCAATTTCACAGTAGAAATAAACATGTTTACAGCCTGGTACCAAAACATGTTTTTTGTTTAAATTATCTAGTTTACACTCATGGCAACTCTGAGGGGGGTGAATTTTTTTCTCACTCTTCTGTTTAAGTGTATTGAAAGCCTAAAATTCTGTATAATTAATGAGCATCCAACACAAGTGACCACCGCCTCAGACCCACGTGACCACAGAGCTACTTCCGTGGAAAGGCCTCAGTATAGCCTCGGTCTCTCCTGGAAACTGTTTCGGGATTTTGAGTCTCTGTGCTTGTGAATTCTGTTTTGGATATTACTGGTGCAATTGTTGGACAAAATGACTTGCTGTGGCATTAATTGCACTAATAGAGCATCCAAGGAGTCTCCACTTCATTTTTTTTCGGTAAGTTAAATTAAATGTATGTATTTTAGGTCACTGCCGCCTTTAAACTAGCTGAGTTTATCGAAGTAGCTAGCTAACTATCATTTTAACATGTAGCATGTACTGTTTAACCATGAGGGCTGTGGGTGCAAGTGGAGTGGTGCGGTGGCATTCGCTGGCATAGGCCAGACAATGCCTGCACTGCCCGCTCACCACAGCCATGGAATACACCTCATCAACACACAACACTTAATGGAGCAGGCGGAGGGAGACTAGGGGTCTTAGAACACCTCTGTTGTTGCTAGGCTTCCTGGGGCTGGAGACTAGGAGGGAGATCTGGCTGTCTGGTTGGGGTCTGGGGTGGTGGGTTGCTGTGCTCGGCGTTGGGCGGGGGAGCCTGCTCATCAGCACCCCAGCAGAAAGGGTCAAACTCTGGTAACCGGGGATGGTTGTAACCAATGTGCAGCAGTACCGGGACCAGAGTAAATAGGGTATGTATGGGGAGCATGAGTGGGTGTCTGGCGTGCATTTTTGTAAGTCTTTGGTTGTATGTGTATGTGTGAGCATGAGGGAGGGAGTGTGTGACTGTGTTTGTGTATGACTGTATATGTCAGGTGGGGCCTTTGACTCCTCCCCTCTCCTGGGACCTCCTTTGATGATATAGATCTTCGTCTCCCCTCCCCCTGACACACCTGGTGTGGGGTGTGGTGCCTTGGTCTGCCTGGGTGTTCGTGGCTCCCGGGTCAGGGGGTTTAAGATCTTTGGCGTCTGCCTGGTCAATCCCGGTGGCTGCCTGGTGGGGTCTGGGTCCCTGGGCTCTGCTGGGTCCCCGGCGGGGGTGGTCGCCCCTGGGTCCCGGGTCGCTGGGTCCCGGGCTCGGCCGGCTAGGGGGTGGGAGGCGGCGAGCGGGCCTATGGGCTTGCCGCTGATGTCTCCCGGGACTCTGCCAGCTGCTGGTTGTGGCCCCCCGGGGCGATCCTCTGCGCCTCTCGAGGGGGGCGGGGGGCCTTTCTGGTTGCAGACCCCTTGGGGTTCCTGTGTTCTGGGGCAGCGCCTGGATCTCTGGGACTTGGAGCTCCCCCCATCTCCTACGCATCTTTAGGGGCAGATTTGTGGTCCCTCACACACTCTGTTGGACGCTCCTATAGAGAAACCTTACATAAACAAGCGCGTGTACACACACAGGTGCTCACATGGTGCTCTCAAAAGTACGGGCTTGGGCACGTTCAACACTTTTCTCAAGGCTGTCGTTGCCACTAAATGCACTATGATTTATTATCGTGTGATTGCTCAGTTAAACAATGTCGATTTTATATTTCATCATCACGTTGACGCAGTGATAGCTTGCTCCTGATGTATTGTTGTGTGTCCCATTTTTTTCTGCTCCTCTCTTTCTGCAGGTCTAGAAGCAGACTCTTGTTCATTATTGTTTATTTTTGTGGACCCCCCCCCCCCCCCTTCCCACCATTTGTCTTTTCCTTTCTCTTTCACCTCTGTCTCCCTGTCTGGTCAGAATTACAAAGCATTCAAAAACAATAACAATAAAATTTGAAGTATCAGGCGTGACATTTAAAGCAGACGCTTTGATGCTCCACCTGAGAATAAATCTGTAAGGCTTGTCACCAGCATTCAGACATCAATTCTGTTTGCTTCACAGCCAGACAGGACACGGTAAAAAATAAATAAATAAATAAATAAATCATGAAATTTTGATGTAAAATACGGTAAAAATAATTAATAGGGCATATGTCGATGGGTAAAACCCAGTGCATTTAACATAAAAATGGGTTGAAATGTGACAGAGCGCTTGGAGGGACACTTCTGTGTTCCATTCTTCCATCCGGTTCTCCCCAGCGGTCAGGCCGGTGCATGTCTGACCGATGCAGCGCCTAGCTGCTGCGCGGGCTGACCGCTCGTGGAGCTCTCGGACTCGGAGACAGATCTGACCGGAGAAATACTGCAGCTTGGTGCGTTGTTTGATAGTGCTTGATGTTAGTCTCCATAAGTCTATAGGGCATACAGGGTTTCCCTTAAATCCCACTGCCACGCCGACAAGATCCCAAGTTTTTTTGTTTTTGTTGGCGCTGTTTCCCGAAGAAGCAGCGGGAACTACTATGTTGCCGCTTGTGATCACAGCCGGCGGGCAGCAAGGAGGAGCAGGCCGGGCAAGGTGAAGTTGCAGCATAAGTTACAGAGTTTAAAATTAGAAAGGTAGCAGTGGATATAATGCCTTTTGGTTTACATTTTTCAATAGCATTAAGATTAACGAGTGTTGACGATCTTGACAGGGTTTCCTCCAGTGGTTATTAGGCCAGGTTTTCCTCCCCCCACGTGGCTAATCATCACTTATTCATGTAAAATTTAGTTTCTCATGTCTGACTTTAACCGCATCTAATACTGTGTTACGATGTGAGCGCAACAGCAACAACTTAAGACCGATGTGTGAGCAGCGTGAGAGGTCGGGTGTTTTCATCTGAACCCTTAATACCTCCAGCAGGCTACGTTGCACTATTGACGTGTTAGCGCACGGCGCTAACAACTTAGCGACATGACATGTCTCGGAGAAAGCGTAAAAGCATGTTGAACGCTTCTGAAGCAGGAAAATAACACTTCTTCTTAATGTGGGGTAGGTGGGTAAACGAGGGCCCAGGCAGGATTCGATCCCCAGACTCCCGGGTGAGAGTCATACGCTCTAACCAGTCAGCCAAAGGGACACCCCCTTGGCCAAGTAGCCAGGGCACATGATCAATCGGGACATTGTGACAGCACACTCACACTGTCACATTAAGCAGAGCACGACGTCGACTCGGCTCGTTCACGGCTGAGCCGGACTGAGCTCGATAACATTGACCCAGCACAGCCACTGGGTCGTTGGAGCTGCCACCGGGCCTGCTGAAGGAACACCAGCAAGTTTCATCAGACTCGTAAAGTTTCTTGTTTTTGCTGGGGACCCCCTGTATTTAACCGCTCCCTCCTGCAGTCTTCCCCTATTAAAATTTTAAATGATTCTGTAAATTCCGTGTATCAATAGAAAAAAATCTCTGCCTCTGCCAGCTGCAGTAACTGAACAACTGTTGTATTTGATACTAATTTGAATGATTCTGTTTCAGGTGGAAATGCTGTGTGATTCCTGTGTCCTGTGGCCCATGACCTGCGTCAGCCCGGTTCTGGATGTGGCCTTGCTGAGTTCTCTGCAGCAAGGTTTTCTGGTGCTTGGGGCCGTTCCAGAGTGCACCTGATCCTTGGAGGTCTAACACTTCATATCCCAGCACACGCACGAACACATGCTTGTTCATGTTTGTTGTTCATGATGTTTGTGGTTCATGGTTTACATGTTTATAGTTGTTCAGCCAATGTTTTCTTGATGATTCTTAGAAATGTTTCTTCACAGGCGCAGCTGCTGGTAGCTGTTTTTATGTTGGTTTCCTAGTTGTATTAATTTTTCTCTTATTTACTTGTTTATCCTCTATCAGCAGTCTTTATTCCAGATTGGTTCAGCATTTACATGCTGATGTGGCGACACATATCCCAAACCCATATTACTCAAGGGGAACCTCGTACACATTAAGGCTCCTCTTGACAGAGCAAATCTGTTCAGCACATTCTGACAGACAGACCACCATTCTTCTGTCATGTTGCTGTACAGGACATTTTTAGAGTTTTTCTTTTTAAAGATAAATAGGATTACATTTAAAGAGCAATACTTTCACATTATCATTTTCCCACACTTTCTGTATAAATGTATTTTGTTGTTTTTCAATAAAGAATGACAAATTATTTAAGTTTGGTTTTTGTTGCACACAAATATATATCTGTAAAAAATATCTACAAAGCTAATGTTTACATAACAAGTATGATTGGGTTTTGCAATACAGCACTCTGTTTATTTTAGTAAGATTTTTAAACCAAGTAAAGTTAGTAAAGAACACATTTCTATTGGCTGCTAAGAAACTGTTGGGATTTAAAATGGGCCTGTTGTACAAATAACTTGTAAATGATTATTCCTCACTTTTTTGTCTTAACCAAAGAAATTCCAGTAATTGAGCAAAAACATTTATTTTTTCTACTACATTTTATAAAACAACAGGCACAAAGTGTCGGCACATTAAAAAAAAAATAACTTAAAATAATAAAATGGGCCCAGAAAGCTCAAGAGTGAGTGCAACATTGGGGTTT